CCCCCCCCCCGAATCACTTTGGAGAAAAAAAGCAAATTCCTGGCAGAGCCCACACGTATAATTTATACTAGTGATGGGTGGATAATTTCAAGTTACTTGGGAAGTATTCTCTGGAAAAGCTGAAGTCTAAATACTATCTTGATACAGTGAACTTGTATCCAGCAAGCAGTACCAATAACCTGAAACTGGAGCCCAGGAGAGGTTATAGAGTAACATCACCAGTACTTTCAGAGAGTACAAATATTGATTTGAACTGAATTTAATTGCTGAGTTACCTAAATCTGGAGCACTGCACAACAGCTATATCACTGTGCAGGTCTGGGTGTCTTAATAATCCAGAACATCAACTGCCAAACAAACATGACCTGGTGGCATGAGCTGTTTAGTGCTGTCACAGTGGTTCAAGTCTTCTTGTTTCTCCTATTTGGATGTTTGTAGTTTCTTTTTCAGTTCTAGCGAGCTGTGTTTCACTTCAAGGTCCAGACTGCACAGAGGTCCCAAGGCTCCACAGCTATGGTACAACACTTGCAGTGCTCTGAAACCCTGTTTGAAGCAGTGCACAAAACAACTACATCGGTAGTCATCACCCAAGTTTCTTCATGCCAGAACATCGCTCTTCTGCTGTGATCTGGTGAACGCTCATCCTCAGCTACTGCAGCAGGGTCTTTTCAGAGCCACGCTGTGTCCAAGGCTCTGGATCGTTGTCACGGCACTGCTGCTTGGCACACACAGACAGCTGGTTTTCTGCAAGATCCACACAGCTGGCACAACACACATCACACCACAAAGCCCCTCTTATTCCAAGACATCTAAAATCATGGTTTGCAGACATCACTATGTCTCTGAGTGCAGGAAGTCTGGAAGTCAGAAGGAAGCTGCTATGGAACTGAACTTGCTTTTATCCCCAGTCTCTGCACAGTGAACAAGGCTGCAGTGGCTGGGAAGGGGTTACCTGTGGAGGTTACAAAAGCCAAGTGACTCGATGGAGAAGTACCACATCCAGAGCCCAAATGAGCTTTAAAACATTCTGTAGAACAGTTAATGAGAGGGCCTGAATCAGAGCCTTATCCCAGTAAGCCAAGCCAGGAGACAGCTCACGCAGAGTCTCCACAGGACCCAAACGCCTGTCAGACAGCTCCAGGTCAGCACTGGCAAACATACACCAGGCAAGGTTCCCAACACCTCCACTTCACACAGTCCATCCACATCATTGAGTGTTACCTCAAGTCTTGTATTACTTCTTTGAATGTCAGTATTAAGCTAAAGGAAGCAAAAGACAATCTAGCCCAGTTTCAAAGAATTGGTGTGAACGAAGCTAAGATGGCAAAAGGCCACTTAGTAAAACTCAACATCAAACTGTACTATATTTATGACATTTCCTTCTCAGCATTTAGAAATAGTTTAAAATGTGTCTTGCCTGTTTTCCACATGACAAGTGCCTAAGCGCCTCAGTGCTGGCTGTTCATCTGTGCTGTGCTTTCTTCTCTCTTTCTCATAAGAAGCTTGCAATGTCACGTTTGTTTCTAACAGACTGAGCATTGGAATGCTTTCCTAAGCCAATTTTCCAGTCATCTCAAGTCCTAAGACATTATTTTCAACAAACATTCAGACATAAGTTAGTGTCTGTAGCAAGTTTACATGTGGTGCTTGTCAGGACACTTTTAACAGGATACACACCAAGTGCTTCCACACTGCTTCCCTCTCCACCAGCCCAAGAGGACCCCAAATACCACATTAGGTGATTTCATACCCCCATGTGCCCTCTGGGCAGCATTCCTGGGGTCACACGTGTTGTCCCAGGTTCTCCATTCCCAGTGGACAAGAGAAAGTACAGAAGGTCTGACAGATAAGCAGCTGTAGTCCATCCAGTTCCAGGTTTTCTTCTCTGGTGATCCTTACAGCAGTGCCAGTCTGAAAAGCACTCTCAGCTCCACAGGGAATATCCCAAGGGCTCACAATTCACAGCAGCCCATGGACTTCTCCAGCAATGATCAAAGTTTTCCAATTCCAACCCCTGCATCTCCCTTGCATCACATTCCCAGACACACGTAAACATGCCTGGTGACGCTTATTTTGCCCAAGTACCACCACTTGGTGTGAAGTTAAGTCAAAACACGGCAGTTTCTTGCTGCCACCTCACATCAGATAACAGGAATTAGTTGCTGCTTTCAGTAGAGAACCCTTAACCCTCCAAAACCCAAGAGATCCTCTGGGTGACTCTACTCAGCCACAGCCCACATACACCATTTATACAACAGACCTATGTCACAGCAAAGAACACCAAGCAGAAAAATAACCACCTTGGAGTCAAACTGTGGCCAATACAGTAGAACACACTTTCAATAAGAGCTGTCACTTTTCAATAAAGTCAATTTTATTTTCTTTAAAATGCTGTGTTTATAGCATCAACATTTCATCCCATTGTAGTCCAGCAAGTCAGAACTCAGCAGTCAGAACCCTGGGCAAACAGTGCTAACACGCTCCACATCTGCTCTGAGACATGTCACAGTAAGGAAAGGACACTTGTGCTCTAACAAGGTTCAGAGTCTCTCACCCAAACACTGGAATTGCACTCAACGTATTAACCTCCTGCTCCACTTTCCATGCAGTCACCTGCCCTTGGATGACGCCCTGAGTAAGGTATACACGTGGTTTACTTCTGTTACATCTTTTACAATTACAAGGAACAAACTTGAAAGAACATGTTACACAAGAATCTTAAGGACAAGAGGAAATCAAAACATTTGGGGCATTTGTCAAGTTTGCCCTAGAAAGCCCTCAAATGAGCAATGAAATATGTCCAAGTGAACAGCATTCTCCTTTTCTCAGTTGTCTTACAACACCTCATTTCAAGACACTACCAAGAACAGTTCAGTGGGGAACACAAATCAGCTTTTAAAATACAAATCATTACATTTAAAGATTTATTGTATCAGAGATTTTTACTAAGTCCAGTTCACTGTTAACACAAAATTAACAATATCTTCCTTGAAATCAAGTCAGTATGTACTCTTGTTTAAGTGCCAGTTGCAAGTTCAGAGAAAAAAGGCTACTGAAAAATGCCTGATTTTTTTTTCCAGTGCTACAGGTACCAGTTCACAAACCAGCTCAGCATGTCCCAGGCACTTTGGTTTTTCAGCCATGACTGAATTTGTTTTTCCAAGCCTTAATAGAAGGCATCTCCCCTTTATTTTTTAGTATGTCAAGAATTAAAACTTGGATTCAAAGTAACAAAGATTAAGACACAAGACATAATACAGCAAGGGCATTCCTTACAGTCTAAGCTATATTATAACCAACTGAAAAAAACCAGCAATGAGCAGATGCACTTCCAAGATTCAAGTGAGAAAAGCAATAAAACAATCCCTGGACACAAGGGCAGGAGACTAAGCACCTGATGGTCCCCATCTCACATCAAGTATAACTACCCCGTTTGTTTTGCATGTGAATTCAGGCTCACCCAGGAACCAAAGCAACCTCTTGAATGAAGACTCCAGGGAAAACAGCACCTATAGGGCAAACCCTTCTTTACTTAAATGGTTTTCATGTGGCACTGATCTACTGGACATGAACAAGATGACCAAAGGCAAACTTGTCTAGTGAGCAGAACAAAACCACCAACTCAGAGCACAGTATTAGACCAAACAGAATGAATTCAAGTTCAACAACAGGAGCATACAGAGGTGCTGTGGGGGATTTTTACCAATGGCTTTGCAGAACGTTACCCTGCTCACCCAACACCACGTGCAGCACAGGAACACCTGTGAGCACTAAGCAGCCCTAGTAGAGGATCTCCAAGAATGCAAGATCCAACTGAAAGAAAACACGGATAACTTAGGTTGACCCCAACTGATTTATTTTAAGGCATGTTACCTGAGCTTTTGAACTTCTGTAAGAACAGTCTTTAAGAGTCATACTAAGGCACCTTTGTCACACAAGAACTCTCAACAAAACTTCAGTAAGCACCTAAGTGGCTCCAGAAGTGACTGAAGCTGTTTTTAACATTTAACCATCACACAGGCTTTACTTTGTCACAGGTACCAAAATAAATATTAAAGTGCTGATCAACCAAGTGTGAAAACTGTTGATTAAGCTGGACCACGATGCATTTTCCCAGTCACAGTCAATGCCCACATACCATGTTAGTTTTACTTCCATCCAAGGTAAAAAAGATCAAAGCTGAACCAAAAGGGAATAACGAATGCCCACCCTCCTCTCCCTGTGTAGAGACAACAAAATGTCTGGGTTTGACTCAATTTGTACCAAAACTGTGCATTAAATACAGAAGCTTACAGTCTGGAGAACTAACTACAGAAACAGTGTGATTAAGAAGCAGACTACAGGCAAGTGGCAGAATTTGGCCTTGGCAAGTAATTTGCCTTCAGCAAAAGCACTTGTGCTTCTGCACTGGTCCAGGGGAACTGCACTGCCAAGGATACACAGTGTCACCCGCCATACAGGCACCAGAGCCAGATGCACAAGTGGTTTTTCATTGGAGGTAATTAACATAATAAAAAAATCTCTTTAGCCCGAGTGCTTTCAGGAGGCAGTTGATCCCTGAATCACTCTTTGGTGGTTTAACTTCTGTGCACACTCTGACACATACATGTCCATGTATGTACACCTATAGCTACAAGGTAATCGTGTCACAGGTGTAACTTGCCTTGGTGAGCAATGAAAGGAACAGAACCAAAGGGATCTTCAGGAGGACTTTTCTGTGGAGCAGAATGTGGCTCCACATTCTTATCTGAAGATGCTCTCCTGTCCACCAGCCTGTCTGTAAAAAACAAAATGAAACAGAACAAAAAATAAAGTAAAATAAAATAAAAATGGCAGGTCTTATGCCTATGCAAGGTATGTGCTGCACGGGGTGAAGGAATAATATACTCTCTATTTGGGGTTTTTGACAAGTAAGAGCCCAGCTGGCCCAGGCAGTTCCTTCCCATTTTGCAGGCTGCAGAGGAGACAGGCAGAGCACTTGGGAGACTGCACCCACACCTGTCTCTGTTGGAGCATCAGGGTGATCCCGGGCCTAACAACCACCTTTGTGTGACTCAGTGAAAGCTGGGCTGCTGTCCTCCCAGTGAGTCAGCACACTCCTTTTCTTGGCTCCCAGCTCTGCACAGATTATTAAGTGATTACAGAAGCTGTTGAAGAAATCCCCTTCTTCACAATGCAGTCAGAAATTCAGCATCATCTGTTGCTTCTGTGCCATCCCTAAGTGATGGTAACAGCAGAGAAACAGCAGCGTACACAAGAACACAGAGCTCCAACCTGTCACTCCGTATCACAACGGTGCTCCTTTCAGACACCTCCATCCAGCTGCACCTTGCCCTTAACTGTAACCGCCTTCTTTCTACTAGGAAAATGTTCACCAAGTGTGAGCAAGGTATCGTGATCTGGGAGTTGGATCCCTTTTACAAAAGTGATGTATCATCCCAGCAATACCCCCATCACTGCACACATTGACATTAAGCCACTCAACCCATGAAATCCAACAGTAATATCAGCCTGACAAAGTGTGACAACATCTTGATCCTCTAACAAAGGCTGTGTATATTTAATTACTCAAGTGTTACTGTCATGAGCACATCAGCTTTAAAAGTATTTGACAGACTAAGAAACATCTTTAATTTACATGTGAAGCATCAGCTCAACAATACAAAGTGGGCTTTTGAAAGGGGCGACAAAGGATTTATGTTTTGAATGCTACTCAGCACCATATAACATGGCAAAAAGACAAACTTACATAACAGTATGAGAGTTGTGAAGTATGGGACAGCAATTGCATTTAGTAATAGAAAAATATAACCATTTATCAGACCTGTATCTGCACTTCTCCTTTCTCTAGATGGCAAAAAATTGCTTAGTAAACAACAGTCTTTTTCCCTCGAAAGAGATAATGTACACCTAAAAAGAGCTCACCCTTGAATCTTCATTCAGACCTGAGGAAATTCCAGAAAGTATTATACAGTTAAAGACAATTTTATAGGTCCAAGCCTCAACTGTACAATCCATCTCCCAATTTCTCATTATTCCAGCTAAGGTTGATAAAGTACCAATGGACAAAGTCTATATATTTCTGCTTTGGCTGCAGCAAAGGCATTAACACTGAGATCAGCTCATATTAAGGCTGTTGTGCCCAACATGATACCAAAATGCAAACAGCCTTAATATCAAAAAACCCAAGTCAGAAGGTCTTTGAAGGTTGTGACATGTGTATCTATGTGTACAAACACACACAGATACAAACTACCAGTGCTCTCCCTGCTCTGGGCCTCAAACAGACACCAAGCCCCAAGACCTCAGAACCACTGAACTGCAGCCCACCCCGTACAAACAAGCCTGCCATCTAGTGTGCTGCTGCTCAAAGCAGTCACAGCTTTTCATTTTGACAAGTTCTGTATTCAAGTGACTAGTAAACCTAATGCTGGTTGCTACGAAGCAGAATGCTGCTGTTGACTTTCTGGATCCAGTGTATCAAGTGTGTTATCACACCCAGCTCTCCTGTGCACTGCATTACCTTGAAGCGCTGAGCCCCAAATGAGCCTCGGTAAAGATATTCAATTCCACTCCTGAATCAAATCCTAAACTTGGATTTGGAAGGCGTGCTCATTTTTAAGCTGGTACATTAGCCATTACCCAGCTAGCACTAAGTAATTGTACTGTGAAATGTGTGCAGGCTACTTTTATATCTCAAAAGTAAGTCTTAATTGATAAACATAATCAAAAACTATCAACTAGAGTTTCACAAACAAACCCACTCAGTTACTTTCCTTGAGGATTAACAAGTAGTGTGCACATCTTGTTCAATTACATTCAAGGACACGGGAATCCAAGAAGAAAGACCCAGCTAAAGGCAGAGGTGTTCTTTAATCACTTGAATTTCAACTTTACTGCACGTTTAATTGCAAGGACCTTGCTGATAGAGAGCCAAACATGCACAAGCTGTTTTTTGATATTGTCACATCTTCCAAGTCCCACTGATAAATCTGATCTCAACAAAATCAGTTATAGGAAGAGCATCTAACAAGCGCATGTTAAGCAATTAAGAAGAGGAAGTAATTCCAAGTAAAAACCATGGAGATAACTGACTTTAAGAGGAAAAAGTTTATTCAACTATTGCCATATCAGAACAATAAAGCAGCCCTTACATTTAGCCACTCATCAGAAAGGACATTACAAAACATTAACATAATGTAATAGATCAATTTTCTTTCAGGCATTTTCAAAGGACATATCAGACCCACACGATCTTCTGCTCTGGTGTGCAAGAAAAAAAGCTGGAAAGGAATAAAGCAAGCAGCCAAACTTCTGTTCCCATCTGACAACAAAGCTCTGCTATTGAGAGCCTCTTGACAGTGAAGGTGACACAAGCAGCATTGAAGAGCTACGACAGTACCATTTCTGCAGTAACTGAGCCAGTAACTATCAGTTTGAGACGGCGAGTTCCTATTGCACACATTTTCAGAAAGGAAAAGGAAGGGAAGAAGACAGGCCCAACTGTGCCCTCAAATGCTCAGAAAGAATGTTCTGTACACAGCCCGCATGGCCCTCGGACAGGCAGGTGTTGGAACTGCTGAGCAACTACAGAGCCCTCGTTTACTGGGAAGCAAAGTAAGCCTTCAAGCGTCCCTTACTTGATCTCAGCAGGTCAAACTCTCTGTCCAGCAGCTCCTCCTCTGTCAACTTGGAAAAATTGTCCTCTCCAAATGGGTTCCAGCCTGACATGTCAGGTGGGTTATTGATGCTCTGCTTTGGGTAACTGGCAATTGCTTCAGCATCAGGAATACCTGACCTGTGAAGTCAGTTCAAGGAAGCAAAGAAAGAAACATCGACAGGATTATTTATCATGGTCAAAATCTGAGACATGCTTCATTATACCAAAACACTACACAGAGGGAACATATATCCATTAACAGTTCATCCCAAAAGCATCTGAAAGCTACCTTAAGGGAAATCTAGTAAAAACCTATACAAATATATAACCTAGTTCATAACATCAGTGAAACTGGACAAATCTGGGTTTTTCTTTATTTTTAAATCAGAAAGGAACGGGGGTTTTATTCCACACACTGTTGTTCATAAGAATTCACAGGAAGGTAATTATTTATTACCTTTTATTAAGCAGTGCTAATCACAGTTAGTAATGTAAGCCAAAAGAAACCCCTGAGCACACCTCAGCCAGAACACTCACCTGCTTGTAGGATAGGGAGGATCTGCCAGTGTTCCAGCATGCACTGGGAGTGAGCCAGGGTAGGAGATTAAGGCTGGTGCAAAGTCTTGTGGAGAGGTGATGTATTCAGGGGACTGTGCCTGCTGTGACCGCTGCTGGGCCAGCATCTGCTGCTGCAGGAGAGCCTGCTGATACTGCACCTGGGGGCACCAGGGTTGTGTTAGCAAAACACACGTGGGCCGGGTCCATCTCTTCTGCCCACTCACAGTACTGGACTTGCAGCCAAACAACCACCCACCACCCCACTCCAGAACACGTGGGTGCAAAGAAACTGCTCCAACAGGTCAGTAATACTGGTTCTCTTTTCCAGCATATTACCACTTAGCTTTTTAAAATTACTGCAACCTAAGTATATGCTACTGCACAGCACAGCATACCCAACTCTTAATTAGTAATCACAATTTCAAGACAATTTGTCCTGATTTTAAAAAAAACAGGATATGCCAGTTAGCTCCTCTTGCTCTTCAGTTAAGAATTTCATATCACTGTGTCATCTGTCACTTTGTAGTATAATGTAATTGTTGCTGCAAACACTACTGCAAACCCTAAGCACCAATTGTTTCAAATTAGCATATACCTACTTATGAAATTAGAAACATATCCCATCCAATTAATACACAACTGCAACTCCAGATTAGTTTGGGTAAATTCCCCCAACTGAATACCATTTCGGATCCCCATCTTCACACTATTTACCACAACCACACCTCATTATAACTACTCACACCCTTCTCTCACTTCATCTACACATCAGACTTACAAACACAGCCCATATTTTCAGATCGTACCCTCTGTTCCACTCACGACATACCATGGCAGGATACTGCGACTGGGCAGGCTGCTGCTGGTACACAGACTGCAGCAACAGCTGCTGCTGGACCATCTGCTGATGCACTGCTTGCTGATACTGGAGTTGAGAAGGAAAAAACAGCTTTGAGAAGCCACGATCCCCCTTCAGAGATAGCCAGATATTCAAAAGAAGCATCAATTAAAATATCACTTTTGATTCCACAACATTTTTCAGTTTAGATACCACATAATCAAGAACCAGCTTGCAATTCAGTCACTGAATTTTAATCACTCTGTTTGGAAGCCTTTTCCTTCCCACCTCCCCATTTTTAACAAAAAATTACGCTACATATTCAGCACTGGTCAACGTACAACCATCTTCTGCAAGCACGGCATAATCACCTAGGTAACTCCTAATATTTATCCCAAGCACCCTTAACAAATAGATAAAGCCTTCATTTCAGCCACATGGTGGTGATGCAAAGCAAGCTGGGATTCAGGGTCAAACTGCAGAAACAAAACAGCACAAACAAGCAACATCCTAGGATAAGCATTACAGGGCCTACAAAGGGCCAAAGCTAAGGTACAAAGGGACAGGAGCTCTTTTAGCAGGAAAAACCACAGTCAGCAACAGCAGAAATGCTCAAGCAGCACATGATTCCAAGTGCATTACACCAGTAAGCACAAGGTGTGTGTCAGACACGCCTAACAGATGTGACTGTACCTGCTGAATGTAAGCATCCTGCACGGTGGGCTGGTGCTGCTGGTGATGCAGGTGGTGCAGCTGCTGCAGCCTCCAGTCTCCCTGCTGCAGCTGCTGCAGGACCCTGTGCTGCTGCGGCCCGTGCGCCGTGGTCCCTTGGCACTGAGAGAGCTCTTGGCCGTTCCCGGGGCGTGTGGTTCCTGCGACAGTCACACGACACTACTGACACCCCCGGCTCACAACTCCGGCCCATGAGCTTCCCTTCCCACTCTGACAACTAGGACAGCTGTTAGGTACCAAATTTGCTTCTCCAAAAATACTTCCAGGCCTGCAAATGAACCATTTCTACTTAGAAGATACCGGAAGCTTCCTCTGGTCTCACAACAGCAAGCTGGGTTCCAGACTTCTGCTTTACTAACCTAACACTGAAGTTACATGCTGTAGTACCTCAAACCCTTCCCCTCCAAGTGTACAGCTTTGTATGCATACAAAACAACACCACACATTGTTTTCTTTAAGGGAACTATTGGCTCACCTGTCATGCTTCATCAAACTGAACACCTGACTGCTTTGGCCATTCAATTGTTTTTGCAGCCACTTCAGTAAACAGTTACTAACATAAATCAATCTCTTGCATGCTGTTTATATTCTGAAGTGCCCAGGAATGATCTGTTCCTTGTCAGAACAGGAAAAGTCTTCCAAGTTGGATGCTACTTACATCCCATCTAGAAAAAATTGTTCACACTGGGACACAAACAAACATTCTCAGTGACCTTTTGATACTTTCCCAACACCAACCCTGAAGCCACTCTTCCTGTACTGTAAGACACATAACAGCACTAAGTGCAACTTCAAAGTGTTCAAGATAAAAATGACACCTATTTAAGTGAATATTTATCAGAGCCATAACCCTTTCTGAATGAGAAAGAAGAATTCATAAAGGATTTCTTCAAAATCCATTTCACTCAATTGTGTCTCCCCCAGTGACTCCCCCTCTTATTGCACTCAGTGTAATGTGAAACCAATCTTAGTCCTTAGAGAAGTGACATTTTTACATGGTTCCAGTCTACAAATACCACCAACATATTGTTGATCTCGTGACTTATTGAGGCACAGGAGAATATTTTTCCTACTACAACAAAAGCAGTTTGTTAGAGAAGAGTTTCATACTTTTTGTGAATTAATTTCAAGTTAAAAGTGACCATGAACTCTAAGTGAGAAGTTCATTAAACACCAGTGGTAAGCATAATGAAAACACACCTTTGCTTCTCAATAATGTGGATTTAGTTTTTGTGGCACCTGGCCAAACTTCCAACTCACATATTTCAAGTGTTTTGGAAAGGATGAAGATTTTTTCTGGTATGTAAGGAAAGGCAGATGAATTTGAGTTTTAAAGGCTATCCCTATTAGATCAAGGAGACGAAGAAATGTGAAATTCATTCTTCATATATTTTGGTCCATCCTTTAACTTCCTTAAGTTACCTTTTTGCCCACGATTACCAAATTCCCCAGGAACTTGTACTTTGACAGGAGTTGCTGAGCTCTGGATTGCCAGCACACTGGAAGTGGCAGTGCTTGAATTGGCCTTTGGTCTTTGTCGTGGTGCAATTGAGGTTTCTGTTGGTCCAACAGTATCTGTTAATCTGAAAGGGAAAATTTTCCCATGTAAGATACTTCATGAAAAGACAACTATTTCTTCTTCAAATTAGACACAGTACATCTCTTAATAGCTCAATTATGTCTTAACCATGAGCTACTCTACTTCTGCATTGCACTTCAGTACCTTAAGTTTGCTTCCTAAAACTCTACCCACCACCCCTGGCAGCTCTAGGATACGACTGATGCAGAACATCATTAAGAAGGAGCCATCAGCAGCCTTTTTCCCAAGGAGATCATGACACTAGATAGTATCACCCTGAATAATCTCCTCTCAGTTCCCAGTAGTGAGTGGAAGTCAAGTCCTGACTAGAAACATGTTGACTGTTCATATAGACAGGAAATAAGATAAAGGAAAATCTCATCTGTTAACTCATTTCTACTTCTACTCACTTCTCGTGTTTTCATTTCTATTTTTTGTAAATAGAACTGATAATTATAGCTGAATAAAAGTACCCCAGTCACACATGCTGATAGATTCAAAACCTAACAACTTCCATTAACAAGGAATAAAAGGGTAAAGCAATCATTAAGCACACACTATACCATAGCAGAAATCAAAAGCATCAATAGGAAGTCCCAATGTTTTTGGTTTTACTAACAAGGACAAAAGGGACTACTCTGGTATAAAATTGGAACTTTTGGAAAAAACCACAAAACAACCAGAAGCAAAACTCAAAAAATCCCTTTACCTTCATTAACCAGGCTCTCAGTTTTTCCTCCCAGGATTCTCAATATAATGAAAAAAGCAAAGGAGTGGAATTCAAAGGGAGACTTGAAGTTCTTAGAATTGCAGTTTACCTAATGACTTCTACTAAGATAATATTTCATTTATTAACAAGCATTTGAAAACAGGTTTCAGACCAACATGTAGTTTAACAATCTTTGCAAAAAAAAAAAAAAAAAAAAAAAAAAGAAGTCACATCCTCTGCTCACCTTGCTTTTATTTGGCTTTTTCTAGCAGCTGCCTCACTAGCTGTCATGGGCTCAGGGAGAGTTGAAGGGACAGGAGAACTCTTGGGAAAAACAAATTGGAATAAATTTAAAGAAATGAAATCCTGAAACAAAAAAATCATTACATATTGAAGAGGAATACTTGGGTTTAAGACTTTCATGTTGCAAGGCTTCATGCTCAACTCACAGCTGTAGATTAAATGGGTTTTAATTTAACAGTATCTCTACACTCTCTCATCCATTGCAGAAATAAAACCAGAACATGACCGGTCTGTTTTGTCAACTACTTCACTTCATTTACACACTAACAACTATCAACAATAAAGTGCAACATTTTCTTCAAACATATTTGTGTGACTGCACAGAGCAGACTTACTTCAGCCTCAAGCTGAAGAACTAAATTCAAAGCCCAATCTTTGGAGGAAACTGTTTTTAGCCCACTTAGTTCTTCCACCGCAACGCAAATTCCAGAAAACCATTCAGCATCCAAGCTTCCCTGGGCCTTTAACTTACCCCCTTCTCAAACAAATTCCTGAGTGAATCACCTAAACCATATTTTACCAAAGAAAATGGCAATTTTGGGGGAGAGAGTACAAAGATCATCTCTAATGACAAATGCATGTACAAAATACAAATCTAAAAAATCTAGTCACCAATAGTAGAGACAGCTACTTATCAAGTATTTCAAGATTTTCTTCTTATTTTTTTAACCTGTGTATCCAAAGGGCAACATTCACACTTACTGAACACCTCCTTCTACGAGGATAAAGAAAGTCAAAGGGATCTCAGGAAGTTCACTTCTCTGCCCCTGAAGGCAGAGCTCACTATAATTGGCTGTTGCAAACTCAAATTTGAGATGGATTTTTCCTGATGCTTCTCTTGAGAATCGCTTTATAATAATCAACATTAGTGATGTCCCTTCAAATTCCATCATAGAGTAATTACATTTGTGAAGGAGGTGACCTTTGAGACAAAGTTCACACTTGCCAAAGTCAAACTCCCAGGGAAAACAAGGGCAGGAATACAGGCTAACCCAGGCACTGCTCTATTTGCCTTCCAGTTCACTGGGGTCCTTCCAAGGGACTAACACATTTGCTAAGGATGATTGAGAAAAAGGGGTTGCCCAAAGCAAAAGGGGTTGCCCAAAGTTACAACTTAAATGTGTTAACAATAGAGGGTTTCAAGTTCTGTAGTATATTTCATACTAATTGTATTAAAGGAAGAGATTACTAATGACTAAAAGTCATTTGCATGATGCAGTATCAACAGAGTTCATGAAGCTACCCCGTCAAAATTAAGAACATGTTTTGTTCAGAGCTCATACTGTGTGTACACAACAGTAGCTTCAAGTGTTCTCTGCTATGTTTTACATTTAGAAACCAGGTTTATGATTAAATTGAAGTGATCTCTCAGACAATCTGACAGACTTTTCTTAATGCTACCTACATAATACACTGAAAATACTGAAAAAATTAAAGACTACTTACATTAATGTTAGACACAGGACAATCCTTTTTGGCAATTTTAAAGGCAAAGTAAGACACTTGAAAAATATCAGGTCTCTTCTCTTGGTCTGGTTCAAGCATATATCCTGCAAAATTGGTAAGATCATCCACTAAATGTCACATCAGCTGCCCAGGAGAAAGACTTGCTCATTCCCCTGGCTCCCTTTTAGTGCCATTTCAAGGAGTTTGCTCTAGGCTTCTGAAATCCCTCCCCAGGCAGCCCCTGGGGCACAGTCCTCCGTGGAACAAGAGGACAAGCAAGGCTCCCTTCCAAGGCCAGTGCAGGAGTGGCAAGGCAGGTCTCAGCCAGGAGCGACTGCCCCTGCTCCCTCAGACTGCACCTCCCACCACAGGCACTCTCCTCCCTGAGCAGGACCTGTGTTTCCCTGGCTCCAGGAGATGAAGGCACTGCTGTGCTGCCCACACACTTACTGATCAAACAGTGCACGCTGTGGGAGTACCGCGAGCTGTCCGGGATGGTAAAGCTGCCGTCACAAATAGCAACTTGGCTTTCTCCAAAGGGAAGGGAAAAGAAACACAGTTTATACAGCAAGCAGCCAAGTGCCTGTAAAAGACAAACAGGGGCACTGTGAAAGGATGAGAGCAAGCCTTGTACACAAGAGAGCAGCACCAATGAGACACAAACTGCATCCTGGCTACAGCTGCTGCTTACATGTTGTGTAGAACCTGCATTATTGAACAGTTCACGTGACAAGCTGATATATCAAGCAGTAACACAACTTGCTTTTCCACTCACTCCTATATAGATAACAAACTACAAAACCAGGGCATACCAAGAGCCGCATTCTCAGTGTCACATCACCTCGAGATACCCCACTAGCCTTTGCACTCAATTTAGTTTATTTTCCTCACTGCACAGCACCTAATAAAAACACCTTTCGTGATCATGCTGCCAACAGGTTTCCACAAGAAATCTCTGGAGACTATCAAGCAGCAACTAGGACTGACAAAAAAAGAAAAACTCTAAATCACTTTCCCCTTCCTTCTAAATAAAAATCAAATGTGGCACTCATTTTACTTACCAAAGAGTTAACTATCCAAGATCTCTACTATATTCTGTGTTCTTTAGCTGCATCATGTGTTTTATTTTCCAAGAATTAATTTTCCAGTCAGACAATGCTGCTTTTAATTGCCTCTCATGAATTAGTTCCGTACTACGTGATGTTTTGCTTACCCAGATATCTGCCTTGGTAGTAATTGGCTTTCCTCCATACAGATTGATCATTTCAGGAGCTCTGTACGACAGTGTTGTGTACCTAGTGATGTAAAATAAAGAGAGGACGTGGCTGAAAACTGCCTCAGAACTGCAAGCATGTTTCCCCCTGTCTGCCACATACACACCAATCACACACAAGTTTCAGACACATGCCTGGAACTGCCTCACATAATCCGAGTCATTTACTGCATTTGCAGCATCACAAAGAATATTCAAAGTAGCAAGATATAATGAAGAATAAATAATAGGCCAGCTAAAATTTGCCTTTACTGTTATTTCCCCAAAAGTGTATACTTTTCCACAAGTCACTGTGCATAAGCAGCCAGTCATCTGGAAGGTGTGATTCCAGAGTCCTACAAGAGCTTTCCTAATACATACCGAAGCACAGAGAACGCAGACTTCAAAAAAAACTAACGTCTCAAAACAACTGCTAAAGGGGTAGTTCAAATACTTCAGAGCTGGAAAAAATCTCCACCATTTTTTCAACTTGAAAAGGAGCAGCCTGTATTTACTCCTCTGCAGTAGTTAGCCCAAAGGGGCAAAACCATACTAATAGATGATTTCAAGAGTGTGTGTTCCGCTCTTTTACTATATTTACGCCAAAATTAATTCAAGATCAACCATTAAGTTCAATTCATGTTAATGGTACATGCACACCACACAACAATACATGGGGTTTCCTAGCAGCACAGTCATCGCTTATGATAGGTCACCTAAAAGTAAACTTACTTTTTAATTTCTTCTTCAACCATATTAACTCCATCTTTCTGCGGATGCAGGTATTTGTTAGTGGCACTGCCGAAGTCACAGAGAACGTAGTTCCCGCTATCGTTTAATAGTAGATTTTCCACCTTGAAAGGAAATCAACACACAGAAAAATTATGTTAAAATACCAGCATTAATTTCCAAGTGTTATTATATGTTCTCACACAAACAGGAAGTTTTCAGAAAAATCAATTGATAGACTTAGTTTTAGCACCAAAAAGTTATCCTAGTGTCTCTGTTTACAGCCTCTGTAGTCTCTCTGTTTCAAGTTTGGTTTAGTCTCTCTGTTTACAGCTCCATCCATAGCAAGTTCCTAACCAGCAAGTCAGTCTTAGGTATTGAAATACCTTCTAAATCCTCGATGCTTTTCAAGTAGATGATTGATTTTCACCCAGATTTCATTTTCATGGCATTCATACCTTCAGATCCCGGTGAACTATGGGCGTTTTGCACTGATGCAACTGAGCAACAGCTTCACAGGTGTCACAAAATATCCTCATGACTTCTGCCTCTGTGAAACCCGTCTGTAGACGCTGGTTCATCTGGTTCACAACTTGTCCAGCTAAAGAAACCACAAGAGAAATTTCTTTCAAGTAATTCCTATCAGGTACAGAAGTAAAGACTTATATGCACCAAGTCCACAAATGAGACGCAAGAAAGTTTTCCAGTCACTGTATTTAAACAAAAGAAACCTGGTTTTCCAAACAGCTCATTATGGCACAGATTGCACAAGCTGTAATAATTATCACTTCTACTGCAAATATAATGCACATACATCTCATCTCAAGGTATTCAAGCATTACAGACCACAGGGTGGCTTTTCTTTCTAAGCTCAAAGTATTTACTTTGTACTTGCAGCACTTATTCCAGTATCCTCACCTATTTGGGTTAAACACTGTCTCATATTATGCCCAATCACTCTAAACTTTAGACAAACTTCACAAGTTAAACTCAATGGCAAGTTTATTCTGTGCATATGTGTGGGGGGCAGTGGGGATCCAAAAACTACTTGTTTTTACATATTGTTTGAAAGAAGGTTCCATTATAAGGTGGGAGACCACAGGACTATTTTCTTTTGGCTGGCATTATCAATACTCACTATGCTATGCTCATTTATAACAAGTCACCTGGCAGGTAAGAGTAAAGTATCTTCAATGTTATCATCTAACCCAAAAACAGCAAAGCAAGAAGAGTGGTGATAAGTTTGGCAATCTTTCCCATAGAATATGTTCCAACTACCTGTTGATTAGCATGGACAGCAGAACACACACCAATTTCCCTTCATACTTAGAGAATTAATTTCCCCATTCCTAATCATACTCAGTTACAGAGGCAAGCGAAACTCATTTTTATCTTTTCCTCAGAGTTCAGCAGCTCAGTGCCAACAGGAGAGTGTCACGAACTAGTGGGATTCCAGATATGAGATATCTCTGTTCACCTCTTACATGAAGTGGTTTAAGAGTTCGAAGTAAAATCCCAGGTGATCCTACAAACATCTTCCCTGCATTTTCGCTGAAAACTCAGGAGCTGTCTCTTACCTCGACAGTATTCCATGAGGATGAGCACCTCCCAAACATTATCACTTATCGAGTTGACAGCACAGTCCAAATAGGTCACAATGTTCTTGTGCCCAGATAACTCTTTCTGAAAAAGAGAATGCAAATTGGACTTCATTACCAAAAAGAATTAAAAGAGGAAGAATTTCAGTTGCCACTGCAGCAGTGGAAGAAAGTTCTTTTGCTTGGGAACCAGATGTACTTGCCAAACTGACTGTGATACCAGATACATTTTTAATAATTGCTTCAGAAGTTAATGACACACCAACCCTAAACACAGCATTGCTTTCTGAAACTAACAGTGCAAAATCAGAACCATAAGGTCAAAACAAACTAGGATCTAGAAACAACTATCACTGCAGAGGCATTAGGTGTGTGTATACCACAGACCAATCTGCAGTTACAAGAAATGGAATTCTTACCATAATTGTGATTTCTCTCTTGCATATGTTGAGATCCGGCACATTATTAACACACATCCGCTTCAGTGCACAGCGGATCCCACTGTGGGTGCGCACCAGGAACACCGTCGAGAAGCCACCTGGAAAACATAAGGGTAAACAAATGAAGTTACTGGAGTTTGTAATTTCTGTAGTCAACATGACTACATGCTAAGGAATGAGTAAGAAAGACTGTGTCAGTCATTAAGTGATGAGTAACAAACGCTTTAAAAAGTTAAAGATTTGCTATCGCACTCCATTAATCTAAAGTCAAGTCTTCTTGACAAAAAACATAAGGATTTTATTACTTTCTCAAAATATTACATGAAAACATTTTCTCAATATTAAATGAAAACAACCTGAAAAGCATTTTCACATTCAAACCAATCTATAAAGTCCAGTGCAAACTATGTATATAGGTATTAACCCTGAAGTACTTAGAGTCATCCAAAAACCTGAACCAAGTGAAAGTATTCTCCAGATATTCCAAATTTCTAAATCCTCCAATACTTGATAAGAGTTAATACTAATTCCCTAAATCTACATTTTAAAACATAAAAAGTAAAATATTAAAACAAGATAAAGTCTTGAGAGATGCTGAAGAAGTCAAGCAACTTTCCAGGTTAGCCTCAAGAGCCTCCCTGCGCTCCCAAACAGTGCAAGCAGTCAGCTTTAAAACAAGTGTTTTTATTTAAACCGCACTAAACACACCGAGTACAATTCAGCATCTTCTCACAACCAGTCCCACCAGGAATGTTTAGTCCAACCCTGGCATAAATTGCAAGCCACAAGTCGAGCCCACCTTCCAGCTTCCCAGCATGAGGGGGTTTTATCCTCTTCACTGGTAGAGAAGAATTACTGAGGCAGGAATTATACCCACAAGCCAAGTGAAACAGCCTACACAGCAAGTACTTCCAAATGCTCAGGCAAACCCAAGGGAAAAATCAACACTCCCCTTTCTTCTCTGTCTTCTCTTAGTCCTGCCTACTGCTCAAGGCCTCAAGGAGGTCACACTGGCATCGCCTCAAGGCTCACCTGTGCAGCTTTCCCACCGTTTTAGGAAACCCACTTCAGAGAAGAGCTCACAAAAATCCAGGCCTTCCTTAAGTGACTGCTGTCTGATCGTATGCCAACTACACCATGGGAACATGCAGCCAGGGCAGCAGCTCAGGTACAGAGCCAGGACAGAAATATGTAAATTAGAGTGGTTAACTCCTGTGATAATCAGGCAGCCAATTGAAATGCACCCGTTTCATGTCTCCTGATAGCATCTGCAAGCAGCATTTATGCAGTATAATGCACCTCATTTAATGCAAGTCTCCTGAGCCTGAGCAAACAAGCACATAATCACTTCCACTCAAGAAGTTAAGCTCTATTAAGAAATTTCCTTGAAGATTAAATATTTATTATTTTTAAACTTAATTCCTAATTTAGTCAAATGTGATACTATGCTGTCAAAACAGAATTACTGCCAATTTTAGTACATCAGCCTTACCCTAGGGCCCTCCCAAAAATTTCACAGGACACACACTCTTATTTGCTCAAGCTTTAACACTGAACTCCAGCTGAGGATGAAATGATCCAGAAGGGCTCCCTAACACCAGCATGGGGAATCATGTCAGAGTGACATGCAGACCTTCTTTACTGGAAGAGGTTTTGAACTATCCTCGCAATAAAAGTACTTGCTTTTAAGCACCAATATTTGACCAAAAACATAAAGCAGTACTCAAGTAACACACAAGAGTCATAACGATAAAATAACAATCACTTCCTGGCTTTTTAACCAGTTTTTACAGCCTTAAAATTCCCTCTAACTAGTAGAAGGACAAGAAGAAGGAAACGCCAAGTCTCAAGTTCTCCTGACAACAGTTCTGACGTAACCTGAGCAGACACAACTGCGTAAGAACCATCAATACAATCAATACAACGTAGTGAAAAGCCCCTAAATCCTCAGCCAAGCGCTGCTCTCGCCATTAGGTGGCAATATCAGCCAACACTTGAGTGCTGGGGAGCCGTAAAAGCAGACCTGCTCCTGGTTTTGGCCAGAAGATCTGTGACCTTGAACGGTTTTCCATCAGTAAATATCACCATCATAAAAACCCTTTCCTCAAAGGGCCAAGTGGCACAACTCTGAACCAAAACTCACTACGTGAACTTTATCTCAGCCCAAGAGTTCTCTCTGTTCCCCTTCCCATTCTCTCCCCCATCCCACTGGGCTGCTTGGGGCTCAGTGGCCCTCTAGGTTTAGACCACAGAAGGCTTGTAGGAGCTTCATCTTTCAGTCCTTTATTTCCATCCAACTCATCTGAGCCCTAAATCCTCAAAAGTTACACAAGACAGTCACATTGCACTTTTCTCTGAAATATTTGCTAAAAAGCAAATATATATATATATATAAAATAGCATCTAAAGTTATATAGGCCAGCAGATACCTAGCAGAATTAAAACCTCTTTACAAAGCTCACACTTCTTTCTTAACTTTTCCCTTGAACCGTCATTTCTGTCCCCTTTACTATTCCCTTTTGGGATCTTATTATCCACTAAATGGCAATGTTTTGCCTTTCTTTCCTGGGTTGGGTTTTGTTTGTTTGTTTTTAATGAAATTCTACATCAGCCACACTTGTCTGTTTTTTTCCCTCTGCGTATTTAAGGTCAACCTTGACTAATTTCACAGGCCTCAACATTCGATTTACACTTCATCATGTCACATTCCTGAAACTCCAACCAGGAAACAGTGTAGCTGTCCGAACTCCAAGTACCCCATTTGCTTACTCAGGTAGAACCAAATAAGGCTGAAAAATCCTCCAGCACCTTTACCATCTTTCAGACTGCTGAGAGCCATTTTGTGGAGATAGTCTAGAATAATATCAACAAACACTCTGAATAAAGTTATGCATTATTTTAGATATAAAGACAATAACTTCTTTTTTAAATAATATAATTTAAAAAAAAATAAAAGTACCAGATGCTGTTCCTCTAAGTAGTACATTCCTTGGCTATTTATTCTGACAAGTAGTGAATCCCTGGCTACATGTTTATTCATTTATTATATTGATATATATAAATTTCAGTGTATTCATCTGTGTTCTGAATCCACTTCTGCCTGTAGCTATATTTTCACTGCTAACTTACTCTGCATCACTTGATGCCTGGACCATGTGTCCAAGTCTCCTCCCTGTTAATTCCAGAGCCAGATTTCCCAAGATCAGGCTGACCTGCAGCCAGAGCCACCCCACTCCAGAGATGACCCACCTCCAGAACTGCACAGCCTCCCAAGCACTGTAGTTTGTAAGCCGAATGCACTGGAGTGAATCACTTTATGGACTACAAATCCACCCAAAATACAAAACAAGACCAGCTGGAGCATGAATCCCCTTCAAATAGGCTCCCAGTAACTAGAAGAAATAAAACCTTCCTTCAAGTCCATAATGAAAGAATCCCTAAAGCCTCAAAGTGCTTCTAGTGCATGCTCTTTGCTGGGAAACAAAGGGAACTCTGACCTCTATAGCTTTATGAGGTACTCAAGACACAAAAGAAGTCAGTGTCCATAGCACAGGACACCTAAGAAGAAACTCCAAAAAGGACTAGAACCCATGCCAAGAGCTGTTTCTTGCAGCTCAGTTTTGATCACATCTTCGTGCCATATATGACACACACAGGCATTCCTGGCTCTCAGATTCCTTCTGTGATCCCCACATGCTGCTAGGATGCCACACCCCCCCCTCTTAGAGCTGCTCAGCTTCTCTTGTGTCCTGCTACGCTGCCTGTAACTCTGCATGGTCATTGACATCCTACTGGGATAATTTCAGGGCACTTGTACCAACCCTCCAAACCTCCCTCCTCCCCACACAGACTGCAGTCCTTCCCCCAGGGGCACTGCCTTCTCTCAGTCAGTACACCGCGCTGCAGGCACATTTAGGAGTGCTACACTAAAAGCAGACACAATAAATACCTGACTTTTGTGTAGAGAAAACTATTTAATTCTTGAAGCTATAAAGATTTTTATATAATTTGTGAGAGCAAAACCTTTAAAAGCACACAGAATTCAGCCACTTGATTTTTTATCAGCCTTGGTCATAAACACACCTCAGACACAGCTCCATCCAGAAGAGCAGTTGACAGATGTTGCCTGTAAGCTTGCACTCTCAGCATTCCCAAAACCAAGGCAAAAATAGCTCCCTACTTCTAAAATAATGCATTTCTACAGACACATTTGGGAGTTGAATATTTCTCCACTTTCAAGTGTGCAGACAATGCATTCCAAGGGACATACCACTGCTCCTTTTCCCACTGCCCACACAAATTCCCACCATGTAACAAGCTGACTATCAAGGCTAGTTTAGACAAGCAGCACTGTTTTCCTCAACTCAGGATCTGCTCCTAGGCAGCGCTGGAAAAACAGCAGCTGTGAATCACAGCCCAGCAGGACACCACAGTGCAGCCCCAGCAGGCAGGTCTGCACCTCTCTGTTAACAGCACTGCTGCCCTGCCTCGAGCAGGCACTCCCACATTTCAGTTCTCCAGGCTCCAGTTGCAGTCCCAAAAAGCTCTGACAAAAGCATTGGAGACTACCTGGGGCATCCAAGGCACTTCAAGTTACTGAGTGAGCTGGGAAAGCTGAATTAAGGTCTGCTATAGATTTCATGAAGCTTCCTTATTTAGTAACACCCATGCACCAGACTTGGCCAGGGGCCAAACTTGAGATGCTCAAGCTTTGGTCCAGTGAACAGCAAAAGGAACAGAGCTCCATGTCCTGCAGTACAGCACATCATACTCCTCACCCTACCTGCTTCTCAAGAGGATCCAGGTGACTTACCAGGCATCCTGGACTACTGCAGTGACAACACTGCTTCCGTGTCACCTTCTGCCTGACTGCCTCAGCTATTCTGCTGCTGAGAAACAAAACCCCACCGACTCCCTAATGCAGAGAAATTTCCTAACCATTTGAATTGAACACAGCTATTGAAACAGCCACACTTGCAATTCCTGCAATATTCTAAGTTTAAGGAAAATGAAACCAGATTGACTGAATAGCTGATTTAATGCATGCTCTAGAAAAAGGTAAGCATTTGATATGCCCTGGAAGGAATAACTCTTATGC